GAATTCATCACTTCATAGATTTCTTTGAGCACTAAAATCAGAGCTGCTTCTATTTCTAATATGACAGCTGTACATTAGAGCTGCAACACTTTAAATGTGAGCCATAAAAACATGATACTCTACAAGTGCATTCAGCTCTGACACTGTCACATCATGAAGGAGACGTGGAAATGTTATTCTTTCTGTCACAACACAGAGCTTGTGACCAAATGTGAGGGTAGGTATGTAGAGTGACCTGTAAATCAACAGCTTCCCTTTCATACTCAGCTCTCTCTTCATCATGATGAACTGGTAGAGCATCCCCATCACTGCAGCCCTAATCTGTGCAGGGTGTGCAGATTTTTTTAATAATCACCTTTTTTATTGAGTTTTAGACATTAAAACAAAAATAAGACAATGCACATACACCCCTGACACAAACACAGAAAAAAAAACAACACAAACAGTCTGAGCAAGCAAAATTTCAGTAAGTCACATATTCAAACCCTCTTATAACACCTGTACACATAGCTATTGCATTGAGCCTTTTCTCTCAGGATACTCTCTCTCAGATCGCAGGGCTGAGCTGTATCTACAGCACTGACCTCTGACACTGAGCAGCACTTCTTTCTTCAGCAGGATGTTTCCCTCCCGGCTGTAGATGGTGCAGGTGTAGGTGTTTGTGACTGTGGGGTATTTCAGGGTCAGACTGAGGTCTCCAATTTTCAGCAAGTTTCTCTTCATTCTAATTAGGCCTCTGCAAAATGGATGCTGTTCTTCAGGCTGGTCAGAACCATTCTCATAGACGTGGACTTTCCTGTAACCATCAGTCCACTCCACTTTAGCGTCTTTGGGCAGACAAACTGCGGACTTGCAGGGCAGCTGGACAGTCTCCACCCCTGAATCCACCTCCACCTTGTAAACTGAAAGGACAACAAAGCACAACATGAAAAAATCAGCAGTAGCTGTGATGGTCACATGACCTCATCTTCCTTGTCACATGCTTCCCTTCCCTTTCTGGATTGACTTGCTTTTGTGTCTTTCTCTCTGTCTCCCATTCCCTCTTTCCTGCTCTATGTGTGTTTCAGTTCTGCTTCATCTTTCAGAGGTGAACAAGCTCACATTTAAATGATAAACAAGGTCTTTTAAGTTTTTTAGCACTTTTCATTAGTGCATCCACTCCTTTAGCCACTAAACCGCATATTGGATAAGCAGATATTGGACCAGCTCAGGAGAATATTTCAAGGCAGAAAAGAACAATGCAGCAATGAATGCAGCAGGCACAGATCCTGTGAAGAGGGCTCTCTCCAGCCACGGCACGCCAAGGAACAGCCAGGAATGAGGGAGAACGCAATGCCAGACAGAGGGAGATGCAGACTCTAAATATATTGAGAGGGATTAAGGGCAGGGAGGAAACGTCTGGGGAAGACGGCTGAACATAAGCAACTGACAAGACAGGGGAAGCACAGCTAAACATAGTACACACAGAACAAGTCTCTCTAAAAGCTGCAAAACACACAGAGACACAGGCCGACTATGTACAGGCAAAGGCAGGAGCGACAGAGACACTACTGGGGAACAAGGGAAGAGAAGGCAAGGGAGCAACACAGAGACGTGACTGGGGGAAGGGGCAGAAA